CCGCCAGCATCCGATTTTCGTAAATCGCCGGGCTTGATGAGGCAAATAGGATGTTCCAGCACAACATTTGAAACCCATCTACCTTGTCCTGCTCCGGAGAAGGGAGCCATTTTCTGTCTTGTTTCCAAGCTGCAAATGACCACGTCGGCACTCCCAAACTGGTGGATGGCTTCCACCAGGACGGATGCCTGCGGCACGTGACAAACGAAACCCAACAAAATCCGTTCCTTGCGTCACCCTTCATTGCCTCCTCCAGGCGTTCCATCCCCCCCCCACCCCCCCCCCCAAACAAGGCCCCACCCTAGACCCCCAGGCCTTTCCCCCCCCCCCCCTCGCCTGCCATCTTCGAAGCTCCTCGCGCTCCTCGCGCCAGGCCAGGTGCGTGGTCGCCACCAGCAGCGGCGCGCAGCAGCTGCTGCGCGAGCGCAGCTCCACCAGCAGCGCCACCTGACGCTGAACCCCCAGAGCTGGGAGCTGGGCGTCCGGCGCCAGCGGGTGCGCGCTTTTCTGGCTGAAGCAAAATGCGGATGCCCCACCAAAATGCGAAGAACTGGTGAGAGACATGGAACCTCCCCTACATGGCTGATCCCATTTTGTGTGATTTGTGAATTCACCACCCAGTTTAGAACCTGTTTTAGTGGTTGGATTGAATCGGATGTTCACTGGGGGTACGGGCTTTTGATTTTGACCCATGGCCACATGGCTGCAAAACATGCGCATCCCCCCGAAGAACTGGTGGGTGACATGGAAACTCCCACCCCACCAAAACAACTAAAACCGAAACACGCTGGGAAGCAAGGGTTCATTGACAGAAAACAGCTAAGAGTGTCAGGATGACCAGGTCCAGTTGAAACGCAAGCTCGACCCTGTGCGGTCTGAGGCGGCTGCGTGTCCTGACGGGCTCGTGTCCCCGTCCGCGGCGGGCTGAGGGAAGTCATCATAGCAAAAATGATGTTGCCTGCCAGAGAGGGAGAGAGAGCGAGAGAGAGAGAGAAAAGCAAAAGAAGAAGAACAAGAAGAAAAAGAAGCAGAAAAAAAAAAGAAGAAAAACAAAGGAGAAAAAAAACGCGACGCAAAGGAGTGAGGAACACTCGCGAAATGCACAGCACCCTTCTCCAAATCCCCCGGCCCTGGGGCATCCCTTCCAACCCAAAGCCGCTGGGCTGGAGAAGAACACCGGCCCTCAGCCCTTTTGCCGGCCAGCCTTACCAGCTCGAAGATCTGGGGGCTCCACGCCACCATGCAGCCGTCCTTCCGAGGGCTGCCATCACTCTTGGCGGGCCGCTGCACCTGCCTGCGGGCGAAAGGAAGGCCGGGAGGCGCGGAATCCCCGCGGAATCGGCTCCGACTGCCGCCGAGCGGCGCGGTCGCGTAGCCCGTCCTGAGTCTGGGCTAGGGCCCCTCGGGTCCCGAGACCGGCGCGGGTTTTCTCCGAGCGGCAAGCCCAGCTCCTCCAAAGGTCTTTCCACCTCAACCTGCGGAGACGCCGCGCAAAACAGCAGCGCCAAAATGCGACAAAACTCCGGGCCTCCTGCAGACAGACGATCTCCGGCGCCAGCGAGAAAAACAACGCCTTGATCTGCGCGGCCCGCCGTTGCCAGCGGAACACTTCCGGATGCAAATCCTGCATCCGGCAAGGCAAACCATGGCATCCCTGCTGCACGGAAGGCGTGCCGCACGCATCTGAAAAGCCCGAATCCTGAACGCATGTTCTCCCAAGCGAGATCAGAGCACTTCCTGAGGCGACCCGGTCCTTGAAGAACGCGCCGGAGCAGAGCGAAGGAGCCAGAATATTCCAAGACAGCACACGTGTCGTCTGACCCTAAGCGCGAGCGCGAGCCAAAGACACCGTCAATGCAAAGCTCTCTCTCTCTCTCTCTCTATATCGTTAAAAATACGTCGATACTTTACTACAAGTGCAGGTGTTGTTTATGTTGTCACAAACACAAATGTAGTTAGCCAGCATGCACTCTTTTCCTGGTAGACTCAAGGCCTGCGGTAGGGTAGTGTACATCACGCATGCACAAGGGACAAGTAGTACAGCATGATATTTGACACGGCCCCTTGGTTAAAAGACCTTGTAGTGTCCTTTTAACCATAGACCCAAAAAGGTGGTATTGACAGTAGTGGCAAAAACGAATGCACATGTTGTTTGCCGATGCTACTGTAGCGAACAGGCATGTAGTCTCTTTAAAAAAATGACCGAAGGTAGGTATCTACAGCGCTGCTGTCTGTAGTTCAACTGACCTTCAAATGATCAAATGTGAAGTTGCTGCACAAGGAAACCTAAGTGGCTCTCAGTCACCTCGTAGTACGATGACGTAGTACAGCAAGTAGTTGTAGTTCCACCTGTAGATCAGGTGTGCTTAGTCCAGTGCTGGACTCGGTAGTTCTGGACTTGGCCGATGCGGTAGTCCAAGCCTGCACAGTGGTTGGTAGTGAATGTGTTGAGGAAGTCTGGACCGCCACGGAGACGGTTGTAGTCGCACTCCGGTGGTGCAAGTGCTTGGCCGGTTGTAGTGAGAAAGCTGTGGAGTAGTAGTTTGTGTTGCATGGAAAGATTCGTAGCCGTGAGTAGGGTGATGCCGTAGTAGGTGGCACTTTTGTGTAGAATCGTGTTGATGGACTTGTAGCGGTGGTCTTGAAGGTGTTGCGGTTGGTCGAAGTAGTTGAGTAGTTCGGGTAGGTACAAGGGCATGTGGTAGTTCCAAATGAAGTTGTTGGATAGGTTGAATGTAGTGGTGATTTGGTCCAAATCGTAGTTGATTCGGTGTTGTCGTTGATGTAGTTGGCGTGTAGGAAGGTGGTGCTTGTCGGTGATGGAGATCATGTGGCTCACATAGTCGCGGGAGAAGTTAGTGACTTGTCCAGCACTGACAAATCGTAGTAGAACTTCTTGTGCAAGGTGTAGTTGGACCATGACCATCGAGTTGATGTACTGGGTTGTGAGGTGTAGTGATGTCAGGTTGTAGTAGTAGAAGTTGACTGCCTCTGAAAGACGTAGGTGAAGAGGTAGTGAGTCGTAAATTGGCATCCGAATGTCTGAGGGTAGGTCGTGAATTGGTAGGTTGTAGTTGAGCTCGGGAATGGGCGTAGTTTGTTGTTGACTGAGTAGTTGAAATTCCGCTAGCGTCGAAGCCACGTAGACCCTGAAGTAGTTGATCGCTGGAGTGTCAGGGGTGTTGTTCTCAACAGTAGTGAGATGTGCCAAAATGTCGCCGGGTCTGTAGAAAGGTGCAGGTGTGGGTAGTTGGTGATTGAAGTTGTAGTTGAGGGCGTTGTATGCCTCAGGTGGTGGTGTGGCCAAAGTGGCCATGCTGCTGGAGTCGGTAGTATTCTGTCGATCTGGTGGTGTGGAAACACGGTCCGGTGTAGTGATGCCAGCCTGTTGTTCGACGGGCAGAGTAGCCTCTGGAGCCATCGGCATGACATTCAGCGTAGTCGCATCCATGGGCGTAGTTCCAGCCATTGCTGGTAGTTCGGCCTATCGAGATGCAGTGAAACGGGGCAGACAGTACTGAGCCAATGTTAGCTCACAAAAGCACATGGGCATGTAGTAAAACAAAACAACATGTAATGTTGTCCCAAGCCGCCAAGCCGCCAAACGTGCAAGTGCAAATTACTGGTGGTTACAATTGCTGTGACTTGTAGTTACTGTTACTGTTACTTATATGCAAGTAGTTACCTATGGCCATATACAAACTGTTGTGGTTGATGTGAAACAGTTGTGAAACAGTTGTTGTTCGTAGTGCTAAACGTGTATGCCAATGCTCTGTATGAGCCTCTGTAGTGTTTCTTTGCTGATGTATTTTGTGAACAAGTCTGAGCTGTTGTGTAGTGTGTTGATTTTGAGGATTCTGATGATGTCGTGCTTGATGAGGTCTTGTGTGTAGAGAAATTTAAGGTCGATGTGTTTTGCTCGTTTGCTAGTGCCTTGTCGTGTAGCAATGCTCTTGCCTGCTGTGGAGTCTGTGTGGATGCGTAGGTTTAGCTTGCTGCAAATGTTGGTTTCAAGTAGGAAATTTCTGAGGTGTAGTCCCTCATTAACTCCTGTGCAAATGGCGTAGAGTTCAGACTCTGCTGAGCTGAGTGCTATTGTAGCTTGTGTTCTGCTGCCAAATGCAACTGTTGTTCCTAAAAAGATGATGTTGAAACCTGAAGTTGATTTCCTGGTAGTAGGGCATCCTGCCCAGTCGGCATCGACATGAACGTCGAGATCCAGGATGTTGTTGGTGTTTGCTCTGAGTGTTGTTGTTGGTTCTATGGTGAATTTGTAGTGCTTGGTGCCGTGCAAGTAGCGTAGTAGATGTTTGACTCTCTTTTGTGAAAGTTCTGTAGGTGCTGTGAGGTCTCGTGCTAGTTCTTTTGTGGAGTATGCAATGTCTGGTCGTGTGTATGCTAACCATTGAAGTTTGCCAACAATCCTTCTGTACCTTTTGTGTTGTTCGTGGTCAAGTAGTGCTTCATCTTCTATTGTTGGTTTGTAGTGTGCAATTCCTGGAGTGTTCACTGAGTTGCAGTTTTCATTCCAGACTCCTCGATCATGTTGTCGATGTAGGAGTCCTTTAGTCCAAGATTGCAGTAGTTGCCAAAGTGGTCGATGTTTCTTCCAAGAAATTGTTGTGGTTTGCCAGGTTCGAGGTAGCCGATGTGCTTGAGTAGGACCTGCTTCTGGATGGCCTCAAAGGTGGAGTCGACAGTAGTCTTGTCACCAAGTACCAAGAGGTCATCCACGTAGACCATGATGTAGCAGTCGCGAGTCGCATTGGTGTAGACGTTAGGTTCTGACTTTAGCCTTGCAAAGCTGAGCTTTTTTTGTAACACTTCAGCCAGGTAGTCCTGCCATGCTTTTGGTGAACTGCGTAGTCCATACATGGCTTTCTTTAGTCGCCAGATTTTGTCCTGTTGTGGACAAAGTTCTTTAGGTGGCCAAAGGTAGACGTCACGTTGTTTACCGTCGTGGTCTTTTGCGACGGGTGCGTGTAGAAATGCTGTAGAGACGTCGCCTAGTCGCGCTATCCAGTTTGGTCGTGACATTTGTAGTGCGAGAAGTGTCCGGAGTGTCGCGAACATTGGTGTAGAGGCGTAGACGGAGTCTTCGTCCTCGATCTTCTCTGTGTAGCCTTTTGCGACGATTCGACTTCGCACTCCTGGTCCTTTCTTCCTGTGTACCCATCTAGTAGGTATCGCTTCTCTTATGACGTTGTCGTCGACGGTAGACGCATCTACTTCGTCGTAGACGTCATGTAGCTTCATTTGGTTTGACTCGTGTTTCATTCCTTCCAGTAGTTGTGTTTCGTCGTAACCTTCGTTGTCGAAGATTATGGGTTGGTCTTCTGAAGTGTCGTCGTTTGTGTAGGGAGTGATGGATTTTCCGTTGGGAAGTGTCACTGCGTTGATTTTCTGTCGTAGTGGTGGTGGTTCTTTGGTTGCTTGTTCCGTTGATCTGATTGTAGTGTCCTTTGAGGTCTTCTGTGCTTTAGTTGGTTGCATTGCTTCTTCCGGAGTTAAACGTCGTAGTGTTTGTCGAGGTGGTGCTGGTAGTGGTGGATGTTGTCGTCCAGTTGGTGAAGTAGCCATAGGACTATCCGGTAGTGGTCGTGAACTTGACGTCGATGTGGACGGAAGTCGTGGAGGTGGTGTGGTGCGTTGTTGTTTTGTTGCGGGTTCCGCAACGATGTCGTCCGTAGCGTTCGTTTGTTGTCCGAAATCTTGCGTGGACCTTCTTCTCTCTGACGGTGGTAGTTGCGCATCCAACAGTGTTGCGAACGATGGGTTGTAGCTGTTCCGTCGTGGTGCCCACGGTGTGCCAGAAACTTTGTTCAATAGTGCGAGGTCGTATTTGAAGTCCGGTTGTAGTCTCCGCACTGTTCGTACCTTTTGTACGCCTGACTCCGTTGCGACGTAGTTTTCTCCGGTTTCGGAAACTTTTCCGAGCCAGATGCATTTCTTCATCCGTAGGTCTGCTTTTGGGAGTTTCTTGTGTTGTGGTGGAAGGTAGAGTAGTGTCTCGCCAAATTCGCAGATTGCTCGCTCGTAGTTTCTTCCCCAGCGGCGTTCGAAGCTTGTGTAGCCGTCTAAGTGAATGACGTAGCGATTTACCGTCCATGCTGCGTGTCGTACTATCCAAGGTAGTAGACAGTGCTTTGTGGACATCGTCATGCTGTAGTTGCTTTCAACCTGAGCTTTGACGACGCGGATTTGTCCGAGAAGTGTTCTATGTAGTCGCTCAACGCTTCCTTGACTGTTGCTGCTGTAGGATGGTGAATGTCGTACAGTCATTGAGCCGACATAAGATGCTGTTGCTTTTAGTAGTGCATTGAGTGTGTCTTCGTTGTCGCTTTGTAGTATGCCGTGTGTTCTTCCGCATTCAAAGATGAATGCTTGTAGGTTGTTGATCATGTAGTCCATCATTGATGGTTTGTCCGGAACCAATACCGCCATGCACAGTTGTGTAGTAACATCAACTGCTGTTAAGACTGGTATGGTCTTCGGATCTTGTTGTGATTTGATGTAGGCAAAATCCACTTGGATGATAGGTTGTCGTGATTGTTGTTTCTTGTAGTTGTCCTGGCGTCCTTTGCCTTGAACGCAAATTGGACACCAATTTCTGTATGGTAGGTGTGTCAAGTTGTGTTCTGCTATTTGTTGTGGAGTGGGCTGCTGCGGTTGTCGTAGTCCTCTTGCTCTGTGTGCTTCATGATGCTCGTGTTGTTGTTCCTCATCGTGGTTCTCCTGGATGTACTCGTAGTCTTTCTTCACGGTGAACCTTGTTGTTCCTTTCCATTGAAATGGTAGTGCTGCGTTGCCCATGACCGAAAC